TCAAGGCCGTGCAGGCCGCGGAAAACCCCGCGATCTCCGCTGTGTAACTCGTCGGCGTCGTGGGAGTGCACGTCGGGTACGTCGATGCAGCGATTTCTGCATTGCACGTCGTCGACCCGCACAACCCGTACGTGTAGATGGTGTTGGCGTTGGTTCGGTAATCGGCAAAGACAGTTTCGAGCGTCGGCGGAGTGCCACCTTCCAGGTCGTCAGTGCACGCTTGAGTCAACGTGACGGCGTTGGCGGTGATGACATCGGCGTCGCAGTCAGCGCGCGCCACAGAGACGGCCATGCTCAAAGCAGCAACAAGGTAAGTGAATTGCATGATGATTGGTAGCTGGGGAAGGTGTTTGGCTTGGCTGAGGCGAAAGGCAAAGTGAACTGCTTACAGATACGCACGATGTCAAGCTATGTTTAGAGTGCAGCCATGATGGAGCTAAATGCGTAGCCAATGGATATCCTACTACCGACGAAACTCCTTCGACCTGATAGACTACTTAGATGTAATGAATCGGTACGATATATGTGACTAAATTTGGAGCCAATCCAAAAGCACTACAGCGCCTCCATCTTGCAACAATCAACCGTTAGAACGCACGATTGTCATAGAGCAGCATGCAACAATCGTAGCCGCTCCTACATGTGACATAGATGCACCATCGCCTTAACGTTACGAGGAATTGCAATCTTCAATTACTACAGAACTACTATACACGTCCTACTAGGTAGTACACGTGACCCCCAGGTTATTTTATTTTCTATTACTCATCCAGGAGACTTCTGGACTCTGGGACCAAGTCGTCCGTGACGGAGCTCTTTCGGTCGTCGTGACATCCTAACGTCATCACAGCTTCCATCGCCATCGAACGCTCGGCTTCGCTTCGCCCGTGTTTGGTGATATACATCAGAGGGGCGTGCATTCGCTCATGTAAGCTTGGACTAAGGAGCTTGCTGTCCATGTGATCGACAATCAACGCCACCACTCGAAGCGCCGACAGCCGAGTGGGTGTCGCTCCAAGAGCTGCGAGTATGGTCTCGAACGCTTCTTCCGACGCCACGATATCTTCGGGTTTAATCCCGTGAGGAATTTGCTGAGTCAAGACATCTAATGCTGTCCGTCGAGTTTTGGGATGTTGAAGGAGGGGTAGCACTGTCGCCAACGACTCAATTCGCTTTTCCTCGTCTTGGTTGCTTGCAAAAACAGCTCGCTTGAGTTTGGCTACTGCCACGGCATACATGGAAGTCGCTGAAAACGGAGCATGGAAGGCAGTAGTAGTAGTGCCCACATTCAACAACCGTAGCGTTGACAGAGCGACATTCGATGATGGGTGATTGGTTTGAGTGGCGAATGCCCTGAGCTTTCGAATAATAGCGGGGTCGTCTATTAGCAACGTTTGGAATTGCGGATGGTGGGCTAAGTGAAACAGAATAGCCAGCGCCAATATCTGAAGCTCTGCCCGACGCCCTTGTGGCTCTACGTATCAAAACAATATCGTCAAGATCGTCATCATCAACAGATATCACCTGTACTACACCTCGGGGTTTGGCCAAGAGGTCAAACATCAAAGGAATCCCTCGCCCTTTTACCCCCACCATGACCCCTGGTTCAAAGAACGTCATGTTGGCAATACATCGAAGGGCATGCAGTCGTTCTAGATGGGACGAAGGGGGGCCTGCAGTTGTGGCGAGAATGTGAACAGTTTCCGGTTCCTTCGCAATCGTCGCCACCGTCTCTGCTCGTGTGGCTACATTAGCCAGCACGGCCGACACGCGATGGGAGGTGCATTTGGGCAGCAGCTTTAGCAGAATGGCCACCCCTCCAGCGGACAAGAACGCTTCTTCGCATCGGCCGGGGGTGGTGGCTATTGCGTTCTGCAACAATTCCAATGCGAGATCGACAAACGGCGTGCCATCTCGACGTCGAGGAACAAGTTGCTGGACAACCCAAGCGACAATCGGTACAAACGAGTCGATGCTGGACGTGATAAGGGTGAGCCGGGCGAGTGTTTCCAGTCCGAGCAGCACCAAATCGTCTCGTGCAAGGATCAGCTGAAGCACCGCCCCCGCCCCCCCCAGCTACGGACTCATTAGTCATCACTACTGGGCTATCCGGGCACTACCTCTACCATCCATTCGCGGTTTGTGGCTTCAAGCGCTAAGTTGAAACACAAGTGCAGGGCGGTGGTGTGGATAGCTGGGTCTTGACTTTGCACTAAACACCCAAGCCCCAATTGCAACCCGCGGTTTCGGCTGAGCTGGCACCGGCAATCGTCCGAGATGGCGACGTTGTTGAGCGCAACAAGGCACGCTTGGGGGTGTTGATTCTGCTGAAACAACGTCCATAGCAGCGGGACGGCGCCAGCTTCGACCACTTGTATCGCAAATTCGTCACTGATGTACGAAGCGGTGGCCAGGGCCAGCACCAACACATGCGTGTGCTGGCGCCGTCGCAGCATGGTCACCAGCACGGGGATCAAACTGACCGTTATCTTCCGAGGCAACACCCCGATGGAATTCGCAAGCAGACGCAGCGCGTGGTGCTGTTGGTCGTACGACATGTCTTCCACTTCCGTCACCACGGGGGGGAGTACACTCACGTCAAGGGCAAAATCGTCGGCTTCGTCCGACAGATTCGCGAGTATCCACATCGCGTGTTCTAGAAGTTGACCAGACCCCCCTCGCAACATGTCGTAGACCGCTGCCAGACCATCTAATTGGAGTAGTTATACCCGTAACAGCTGTATGGAATTTGGATGGACGTACTGTCTGCCACGACCATCGCACACGAGGCTGCGTCGACGGCGGTGATGTGCGCGAGGCCACGCAGAGCAAAACTCCGCTGAACAAACGTACCGTGTCGCAATAGTTTGAGCAGGGCAGTCACGCCGCCTTGGTTTCGAATCGTTGCGGCTATGTCGGCGCTGCGAAACGCCAAGTGACCCAGGACGGCGGCTGCCAACTCTTTGCATGTCGGCGTCACCCCTAGCACCCATTGTCAAACGCTGACATCGTATGCAAATGCCACGAGTCTCACACTCATGTGAATCTCGTGACCATGACGCATAGATTTCAACTGTGAAGTAATTATATAGAATAGTATGCGATAGAGTATATTTCTACCTCGAGTTGTCAGGTGGACCAGCGGGTCAATCACACCGCTCGCGACGAGTTTCGTAGCTTCGGACGTCATGTTGTGCAGTGCTTGGAGCGCTCGCTCTTGGATGGGACCACGCCCATGCACCAGTAGGTTCACAAGGCTGTCGACGTCGTCGTTGGCTACCATCGATTGGACGTCGGACGTCGACAAATGCAGCGACTGCCGATGGAGGCGGCGCTTGGAGGCGTCGTCTTTCGTGTCGTCAGTAGCATCCTCTTCTGTGACGCTCTTGAGTGCATACCCGTACTCTCGAACGACAACTTCTACGGGTGTAGTAGTAGAGCCTTCCGAAGTGAGCAGTGACGGCGCTTGGCTAGGGAGCGGATCTACGAGATGCGTCGAGGGGGCATCTTCGCAGGGCTTCTGGACGACCGAGCCGCAACTGTGGCAAAAGAGTGCTGTGGCCAACAAACTGGACGCACAGTAGGAACACGTGGCAGCCTGAGGAGCCGCCTGAAGGATGTCATGCAATGCATCCACAACGGTTGCAATGGACGGTCTCGACGATGGATCCGCACAACACATGGATGCAATCAGAGAGTGCAAGGCAGTGCAAATCCCGTTGTCACGACTTAGATCGGGTAGAAGGTTGTTTCGAATGGCGTCCTTCACCTATAAAGATCTCGTCAATTTTTCCCTTTGGTGGCTTTTGTTATACCGTGGCATCGGTGGTGCATTCTGGAAACGGAACATTCCTAGTCGCAGCTTCGACAAAGCACAGGCCGAGGGCGTAAACGTCCGAGGCAAAGGTCCGACTGCTGTTGGTCAGACACTCCGGCGCCGTCCACCGCAACCCCCCTTCTTCTTGACACTCGTTTTCCCCTACATTCATCGTGGGGCTGCTTCGAGGCGGTCGGTCGCCCCGGTGGACGTGAAAACTGCACCCAAAGTCGGCGACTTTCACATGTCCGTCGTGGGTCACAAGCAGGTTGTTGCACTTCAAATCGCCATGCACGGCGTTCTGGCCGTGCAAATGCTGTACGCCCAAGGCGGCTTCCCACAACCATCTTGACAGCTTCTCGTCTACTCGTATTCGTTTCTTAGACACGTCCAGAGAACGGATAGTGCGTCATACATACGAGAGAGGGGTTGTTCACATTCCACTATACACTGGTCGAGACTGACGCGGGCCACTTCGCACAGCGCAAACGGCCGCGCGCCCACGTGGCACGCACCATAGAGGGTCAACACATGGGGATGCCGCAGCCCAAACCAGAGGTCGAGCTCGCGCTCGCATGAGGACGAAGTGTCGAAGCACTTGACGACCACTGGCGTGTGCGTTCGCCACATGCCGTGGAAGACACTGGCGGTGGCCCCCCTCGCAAACGCCACGGGGTTCACGCTCACGTCTTCGGGGGGGATGAACCACGGAGGGACGGCTTCGATGGGGGCGTGTGAGAGGCGCTGGAGGGTCTGGAACGCCTGTTTCACGAGCTGGCGCTGCTGCTTCTGTGAACCTCCAGTCGTGTTATTGCTGTGTTGCATCGAATGCAGGAGACGCATCATGGCTTCGCGTTGCTTGCGCGCGTCCGAGCATTCGTCGACGAGCAGTCGATTCGACTGCAACAAGGCCGTCCACTTGGCCCCTTCAATTTGCTGGTCGGCGTCGTATTGGGCGCGCCAATCGGTCATTTGCGCAATGTGCGCGAGGTTGAGCACCACGAGCAGCTCGTCCACTTCTTGGTGGAACACTGTGATCTTGTTGAGCACCGTGTCTTGGGTGAGCAGTCGCGCGAGAAAGTTGGACGCCATGTACTTGGTCAGAAAAGCATCGAAAGACTCGAGCAACTCCGCGTACCGCTTGACCACTTGCACGGACGGCAGCTGGCCTTTGGTTTCCATCGCCGTGAGCTGCGACAGGAGCTCGTGCAAGCGGTCGCTCACGCGCTGAAAATGGGCTTCGTTCACCGACAGTTGATCGCATTTGCCGTTGATCCCGGCGAGAAAAGATGCGATCTGGGGCAGATTTTGGATCACCAAGCCGGCCCCGGGCACTAGGACGTTGGCGACGATGGCCACAGCATTGAGTGCAGCCATTCCCCGTTAATCTAGCCTTCGTTCCACTCGTTGACCCGAAATGAAATTCAAAATGCGACAAAAGCCATGAAACGGCGGCGGTTTCGACAAGCTTGGTACGTTTCACGGCCTTCTTGCTCAAGTTTGCAATGATTCGATTTAGGATATCATACTCGAGGTTGTGGTCGTCTACTTCACTACCTACGCGTTGTAAGCAAGTACTAAAGCGCCGTGACTTGTGCGTGGTGGAGAGCAGAGGGATAAAAATGCTGTGAGTCGATCGATGCCAGGAACTTCTCGCACATCCTGCAGGCATAATTTCCTGAGCTCACAAATATCAAACGTCCAAGCTTCGACAGTGCACTTTGCAGGAAAAATACTTCGACGACCGCAAAGGCATACAAAATGGAAGTACAATTTTCTCGAAGTACGCACATCAGTTGTGTCATACAAAACGACAGTATAAGGTCAACAGGCTCAAAAATATACTAGAGAATGTATGCCATCAGTTGCCAACGAAGTTTGGTTGTCCGTGCAGCAAGCAACCCAAACATGGCCGACAACACCGTGGAGCTGGTACGCTACATGATCGCATCCTCGTGAATGACATGTGCATGCAGATTGCCGACAACGACGTGAAAGGAGGCCCGGAACGGCGAAGCGGCCGTGCACCGAAGAAGCCTTCCCAGTCGTACGAGGACATCCTTGAAAGAGAAGACATCGTCAGGAGTGTGGCGAAAATCGACCGAGCGTCCAAGTTGGCAGAGGCTCATGGAAACGCGGAGGAGGGTGAATCCATAGACGTCGACTTGACGAAGCAAGGAAAGTCGTCCAAGAAGCGAAATCGAGGGGAAGTGGAGGAGGGATACGTATCCCTGACAATGCCGAAGGAGATCTCTGTCGTTCTCAACTCATACAGCCCTTGCGTCATGTGTCACGAACTGCTAGGGCTGGACGTGTTGTCGCACTGCCTCGACTGCTGCAAGTACTTCCACACCCTGTGTCTCAAGGATACAACGATCCCGTTGAACTGTTCGTCGTGCGAGCTCACGCGGGACGCGATCAACGCCAACCCGAGCTACAAGAACAACGAGGTGTTGGGGGAGTACAACGAAATGGGACCCGCGGCTGCTGCGAAGCACTTGTTTGAGTATCGTATGACACTGCTCCATCGTTATGCGCATCCCGATCTGCACAAACACTCGAAATCCAAGACATCGTCGACGCCATCCCAAGTACTTGTAGCGGCCACGCCAAGCAAAGCCTCCCCCAAGGGCAAGCGGCGGCCAAAAGGCAAGGCAAGTGCCAAAGGTCGAAGTCACAAGCGTAAAGCTCCATCCATGGCCACCCCAGCCATCCATGTTGACGAGATCGAACAAGACGAAGAAGAAGAGGAACAAGATGCCAACTCGTTCTTCGACCAAACGTCCATCCCGGTGGAGCTGCCTACGAAACCCAAGCAGACCAACACTCCCCCAACGGACACTGCCGAGTCCACGGCCAAATTCAATGACATGGAGCCACAGCAGGCGCCTCTCCATCGCCTCCGCCGCGGGAGCGGAGATTTCACTTCGTTTGGGGAAGATGTGGTGAAGATGGAAGCCACGGCGCGGACGGGCGAGCCGTCAGCCGACATGAAGGACTTTGGCGGGAGCATCGATGTTGATCTGGTGCCGCCGCCGCACATGGCCTTGTTGACGGCGCCGACGCCGTCGCCGCCGCCCCAAGTCGAGGACATTCCAATGCTGGACAACATCATGGACGACGAGCAGCATGCTGCTGTGGAAACGGAGACGTACGAGAGCGCGTGGCCGGCGGGTATGATGTTTGGCGACGATGCAAAGGAAGACGACCCCGATCAAACGACTTAGAACGACAGCATAGACATCACGGCGATGTACGTTGTGCTGGTCAATAGTACATAAATGACCTACTACGTATGTTTGTAAGTCGTGCACAATCTCATGAGCCCAAGTGGTGTTGAACATGATTCATAACGTTATTCATAATACCCTGTGATCCTTGCATCCATAATAACAACCCAGGCAAGCCAAAGCAGAAAATATATACTACAGGACGTAGTAATAGTATAACGTTACCATTATAATATTATTTGTACTTCAAAGTCTTTACTACATACAGTAGTATAAGTTATTACTCCACGTTGGTTAATTGCCCGAGTAAGGAGTACTACTATTAATACTTACTACTACGTAGTGCAGTACTAGTATGTACTCTACGTACCGGAATGAAGTACTATTAATAGTACCAGTACAGTATACTAGTACTTGGTACCTTTTGGTAACCGGACCTCAACTACTTTTGAAGTTGTTTATAATTTACCAAGCATTCGTTTTCATTCTAGAATTACTGCAAGTGAAAACTATTAATACTGTACTGTAGGTCATTCATTCTAACTGTGAATAGGTACTCTATATATATTGTAATGTTACATATCACAAATAAGCTGGCATTTTTCGAATTATTCTATTGACCGTCAGGTACAAAATATCGAGTTTCGATTTTAGTTGGTCACATTTATCGACCTCAAACTTACCGTCGCGCACTCAGTTCTTCTTCAATCGCTGTCAAACAAGGCGGAATCGCTTGCTGCTGCTGCGTACATAAGAATATCTGCCCGTTTACCAGAGCTACTACGTAATACTACTACAGCTGTAGTATTCCACAAGGAGGAGAAAATGCCGTGGCTCTGATTGGTCAGATCTGGAACGAAAAGCGATCTTTTTTGAAACCGTTGAGAAAGTCGCCTGTTCCAACGCCGCCAGCAGCGAGCAGCATTAGCCATGGACATTCCCGTGAAGCGCACGTTCTTCCCGGCGATTCGGCTCTCGCCTCGGGAAACTAGTGGGTATTATGCCAAAGCCACGCGTGCCTTGGAGCAAGTGCGCGAGGCGGCCACGACGTTCTCATGGAAGCGCGTCGAGGTACAGTCATCGTCGTTGCCTGTCGTGCACACACCAATCCATCACGTTACATGAACAGAACAAAGATGGCCTTGTTGTCGGCAAGGTGCACATCGTCGAGCAACATGGAACATCGTCCGCCTCCCGTCAACGGAAGAACACAGCGTGCCTGGTGATGCGCGGCACAACCACCGTGCGTGCCACGGTGGCCGAGGTGGTACAGCTCGTTGGGGCCGCCGACACTGCCGACGCCCGCAAGGCCATGCGTCGGCTGCACGGCAAGAACTTTGTGGACACAATGACGTTGGCGCGCGTCCACTGCGGCGACGACGACGACGGCCGTCTGCAGTCGTGTCATGTCAAGTGGGCGGCGTTCAAGGAGTCCGACACGAGCGTCGACTATTGCTTCGTCGAGTTCGCAGGGGTGCAAGTGGACGCGCGGGGAAGTCCGCTGGGCTTTTGCATCTTGTCGTCAATCGAGCGGCCGAAGGAAGTGATGTCCATGGCGGCGCTCGGATTCCGCCGCGACGAGTTCCATCGCACAGGCTTCCTCGTGTATCCGTCCCTGGACAACCCCGAGGCCGTCCACGTCACCGCCATTGCCCAAAGCACCTCCACCGACAAGACAACGTCCGTTGACAAGCTCGAAGCGACACTCCACCACCGGCTCAGCCGCGTCCTGCTCGCGCTTCCCGACTTTGTGACCATGCGCCGCCTCGGGTGTCTGCCCGCCGTCGACCGATCGCAGTGGATCCAGGACGCGTGCCGAAAGTTCTGCGCCGTGTGCCTCAAGTCGTTTCACTTTTTGCGCAAACATCATTGTCGCATGTGTGGCGAAGTCGTCTGTGGCACGTGCGCCGTGCCCCGCGAGGTGGACCTGCCGTCGCTGGGGTCGAGTGCTCTGGTTCGGGTGTGTTCAGTGTGTGTCGGCCGCGCGCACGCCGTCGCCGGGCAGCAGGTGCAGGTGTTCTCGAGGCAGCGACGTCCGTCGTCCGGGGTGCCGCCACGTCATCGAACGACGTTAGTGTCACAAGTTGAAGGGGGGGCTACAAACAACCAGTTGGCGCTGGATCCGTTTGATGTTGTCGACCGACAAGTGCTGGTATTGTCGTTTTACCCAAAATTTGGACTTTTGTGCTGATTCGCCAAACCTATCGAATCGATTCTTTGTACTGTCTTTTGTACTGTCTTTTGTATGTCAAAATTATCCAATGCGACACTAATTTAAGTCACACACTAATTCGTTGAATTGGTCGAAGAGTGGATTTGATTGGCTACTTGATTCTTGATCTGGGTTTTGATTGGTCGATGGATTGTCTGCCGATTTGGTCGATTGAGCCTCTAATTTTGAATCGACTTGGCAATAACGTTATGCGGATTAATAAATCAGCACGAGAAGGGGAGATGAATACCACGAGGGTGTTTATTTGTAGGCCCAGCACTACAATCGACTGCATCGGCGTCAGGACGACGACCATGATCTGGACATCCGCACGACGCTGGGCACCGCGGACGGCCACGACGACATGCATCAGGACCTGGTGCGACGACGGGCTTGGTTTGTGGGAATTTGAAGACTAACTCATGTGCTGGTGCAGGCGACGACGGCGCAACCACAGCGCGCCACGTCACGCGCTTCCCCCAACGTACCCACGACATCCCACCGATTAGTTTACGACTCGTCCGGCACTAGTGGACACGAGGTACTGGTGCAAATCGGTCGGGGTACGGGTTTTCTAAATGGATGGTTGGTATATAGCACTTGCAAGAATCTGAGCCTCATCAGGAATACCAAGGGATGGCATGTACAGTGGCTTCTGTGGGGGCCACGCAGTTGAGAAACGTGCAAGAATTGAGTTTGAGGTTGACGCGAATTCGAGACATGCTCAACCAGAACAGCATGCCTCCGCCATCTTCAGTCTCAACGAGCTGGGTCATGTTGAGCCCATCGTCCGTCCCACACAAGTCCGTCCATACACAACGTCGCCACGCATTGGAACGGGATTTCGAAGTGCTCGACGACGACGATGTACGCCAGGATGTGTTGCACAGCAACGACGTGGCTCCAGAACTGGCCGACAACAACTACTCGAGCAACGACGACGACGGCGGGTTGGATGACTCGAGTGGATCGCTGCACGAGGAAGGAGGCGAGGGTAGTGGTCACTCGAACGGCCACGAAGATTTGGAACGGTCCACGTCTGATTTGGACTCGAACGACGAAGACATTCACGACGACTTTCGCGACGACGAGGACGAAGACGATCTGCTGGTCTATAACCAAGCCGCTACAAGTGCTAGTTTTGGCCACAAAGCAGAAACGAATGGTGGGGAGCCACCGCCGTCGTCCACTGCGGCCAAGAACAAAGCCAATCTGGATGGTTTCGATGCGCACAACCGCCACGTCATCCCGTCGGACGTGGACGACTTGCGGTTTCAAATCTCCCATTTGCACCACCTCCTGGCCCTGGCCAACCAAAAGCTGGACGCCGTCGAAGCATCCGTGGCCCAGTCGCCCCAGACACACAACCCAACGCACAACGTCCACAGGACAGTTGGCGTGGTGGAGCTGCAGACTGGCAACTCTGCCACGGATCCTTGTGTGGTCCAAAGAAGGCACGCCCACAGGGCAGTGGTGTTGGAATTGCATGCCATCATGGGTTTGGATGAATGAGAGTGGGCGGTGTTGCCGTAGTTGTACGTACAGTAGCTGGAAACAAGTAAAAACAGCTTAAACAATGTATCTATGTACTTATACAGTATGTACTGTATGTACTGGGTGTTGTTTCGAGTATCAAAAGCCTCGATAATCTTAAAACGCAAAATAGATCTCACACACTATTGGCTAATCCAATCTTGAGCGGATCTGATTGGCTCGTTTAGAAACGACAAGTCTATTGACAGTGCCAATCACAAGTTAACGGCATGATTCAATATTGAATACTACTTTCTACTACGTATTAATAGTAGTATTCAATATTGACTGTTAATAGCGAATTCACAATTGACTCTATTAAATTCAATCTATGATTACAGGAGACCAACAGCCCAAAGCGTCTTGGGATACTGTACTGCATATGTACTAGTCCCATGTACCGGTATATCGAGCTATGCTGGGGGGGTGTCGGAGGGCGACTGGAGGGCCTTGGCTGACGCCTTGCTTTGCAGCATCCCCTTCTTAGACGGTCTTCTCTCCAAGCGACTGATGGCCCCCAGCACCCGCACCTTGTCGGCGCTGTGCTGAAACGTCTCGACGAGCTTCTCCTTGGCGCAGATGTGCCGGACGAAGAGCGTCTGCAGAGCTATGGCCGCGTCCGCGACCGTGGGGGACGACGGCGGATACCGCGCGAGGGCGACCCGCAACAGCAGCTCAAGGAAATCCGTGAAATACAGGAGCTTCTTCTGGACTTCTGGTGGCGCCATCTCGTCCAACAGCAGCATCTTGGATGCGAAAAACAAATCACGCATATCGCGTTGTTTAAGCTTGTCGTCCAGCACGTGAAAGGTCTCCCTGTGTAGATACATGTATATATACTTGAAAACGAGATATGTTGTAGAATATATGAAATATATATTTGTGAAATCAGGATATATATATTTTTTAGATCGTGGGGAGGACTTACATAAGTTCGATGAATTCTTGAATCGCCATGCCCCGCGGTTCCCCAACGCGGCAGTAATGGCCACTGTGGGCAGCGTACAGTTCTTTCAACTATCAAAACATATACTTATAATGTTATTGTCAAATCGATTCGAAACTGGAGCCCTCATCAGAATCGAATGTCTTAAGAGAATGGATTAAAGAACCGACTAAGCCAATCAAATCACGTTCTGGTAAATTTCTGCCAATCCAAAGGATTGACTCGGATCAGTGGCTCCGTATTGGGCAAACCTTAAATATACTAATCTTTGTATTGCATAGTTTGTAGAGGATTAAATTGGATCAAATGGATTGAAATGGATTATTTGGCGAAATGACTCACAAGTCCAAATTTGGGTGAAATGCACAGTATATATATTCCATGTCAATGGATTGGGATATACGGCTGTTTTATGCATACAACGTACCAACACGACGTACTCCAAGAAGCAGTCGCTGATTTCTTCCTTGTACAAATACCTTGTACGAAAGTCGTTGGGGTCTGGCGGGACCATCGGCATCAAGTGCTCGTCCATAATGCGGTGAAGCGCCAGTGCGGGGGATTCACATTCGACCGCTACAATCACATTCTTTCAACCATTCAAAATTGGAGAAGGAACACCCTCAAAACACTGATAAAACCTCGGGATCGTGGCGGAAAATGAACTTACGCTTGCAGTTGCAGTACTTGTTGATAGCAATGCGAAACACACACTCGAGAAACTCGAACCGTGTGAGGCTTCTATCAGGGTTGTCCTGCTGCTTGGCTTCTTCCGTTACCTCCAAATTTGCGGCCACAAACACATTGTCCATGTCGGAGGCTTTGCATCGCTCGGATGATTCGTCAATCAAACGGCAGTCGCTGAGGAAGTCGTTAAACCCAGACAGCGACACCGACACCTGGTCCACGGCCACGCGCACCCCACGGGCGCAATACTTTCGATACAAATGGCTATACAAATACAGGAAACGTCAATGAAAAAGAAGTGCAACCATATAAATATAGGAAAAATACATGCAATAATAGACTGGTGTCATACGTGATGGCTCTGTAATGGATGGCGCCGGCGGCTTCAAGTTCCCGTCGGCGGTCGACGTCCCTCACAATACGATCCACTTTCGAGTGCTTCAAGTCGACGGCATACGCTTTCGCGACCAACGCGTCCGTATCGACCTGGGAATAGAGTATTTCATGGAAATTTCAATGCATGGACATGACGAATTAAATCATTCTTGTTTTATATTTTAAAATATAAATATTAAAAGAAAGAATAGTTTTTAAAACAAATCTAGTATGTATTGATTATGTTTTAATAATAATCAATACATACAAAACATTATTATTATTAAAATATATTCCATGCATACTAGATTTGTTATAAATAATATCGACGTCATATAAAAATATAAAAATAGATCCTACCGGGGCTTTGCTTGGGCTTTCTTTGTAGCGAGACACAAACACTGACTTTTTGATATCCCACTTCAGCACCTTGATCGTGTTAGCCCCTGGTCGCGGCAACGTCGCGTGACACGGGTTCGCTCCTTCATACCGCGTCATGGCAATGTAATTCACATGCTACTCATACAAATCGTTAGTCCAAAGTTTACAATATATTTGGGTCACTTGAAGGGTTCCAAACAGCGGCTCGTCTCCATGCGCACGCAAGAGGCGGGCCGTCCGCTTATCTTTAAGCACCACGTACTGGCGCTTCTTGTCCGCTCCTGGTCCCATCTACCCCGGCATATGATAGATATATTACATTTTAAGTATGACACTTCCCTAATAGTGTAGTTTGGTTATGTATACGAAGTATAGATTTACATGATGAACCCAGCACAAGTAAGGAAATGCGACATTCCCCATAAGAAAGCAAATTGGTTTTATATATTATACTTGAAGTAAAGTAAATATATATACATATTTCGTGCATGATGGCTCCAACCCAAAGTAGAGTCGTATATATGCACTTTGGTCTCGACCGCGTTACAAATATCAAAAGTAAAGTATATAATTATACTACGTAGTAGTATATACATATATATCGCATGATGGCTCCAAACCAAACGAGAATCATATATATATATGTTCTTCGGTCTCGACCATGTTACAAATATTATACTTGAAGTAAATATATATATATTTCGCATGATGGTTCGTAAACAAGATTCAGATGTACTATACCTCAGTTTCGACCGTGATAAAGTACTTGGTTTTGCCTGGCGGGAGCATGCGGTAGAGCACAAACATGTCGTTGCTGCGGTTCATCTCGTCGCCAGTCCAGTCATCAATGGACAAGTGCAGTTTAACTTTGGCCTTGGCGTCCAGCTTGTGCGATGGCGTCCACACAAAGCGGTGCTCAGACCAGCGCCCGCACAGCCAGCACGCCCGATCCACGTACGGCCACCACGCGTCCAATGACGTGTTAGGGTCCTGATTGTCCTGGTGCAGCTCAAAGTGCTTGATCGCGCAGTGCTTGTGCTGGGCTTGCAGTGCAATCGGAGTCGACTGCGGCCTGACGAATCCCCTCGAGTCGACAACACCTTGGTTGCCGACCATGTGGAGGCTACAAAACGAAACCAAATCAAGAAGAGGGGATAATCCTCAAAGGGGCGTGATTCGCAATGGGAAGATCAGTAGGAAAGGAGGGGTCATTCATTAGGAAATATCCGTAGAAAGGCGGAATCATTAGGAACCATGACGAGTGCGGACTTGACGTACCCCACGATGGTGTGGTTGGCCACTAAGGCGGCGGCTAGAATTCCGCAAGCTATGGCATCGAGGGCGTTGTTGCTAATGTCGAGATGTACGAGCACTTTGTTGTTCGTTAGCGAGGTGGCGAGGGCCGCTGCGACGCTGTTGTTGGGGCAAGAGTTCAAACTGTTCCAAGACAAGTCGAGCACACGCAGCGAAGTGTGGTAGCCAAGGGCTTCCACGAGTCGCTGGGCGCCGACGCCACGGATTTTGTTCCACGACAAGTACAATTCCTCGACCTTTGCGTTTTCGGCCAACATACTCGCAAGCGCTAGCATCCCTACCATTAAAAAAGCAATATATTATATTGCTTTAATATATATTATTCCAGTGGGTGGGTGGTTATTTATCCCCTCACCTGGTGTGGAAAACTGGTTCTCGGACAAGTTGAGCCTGGTCACGGTTTGGTTTTTCTTGAGAGCTACAACCAGACACGTTAGGTTTTGACGCTTAGCTTGTCGTTGGTAGTTTTGTTTTTCGGTGTGTGGGTGTACCGTCACAAAGAAGAGTGACTGCGCGGTTGTTGAGCTGGTTATGCTCGAGATTGATGTGGACCAGGGTCTTGGAACCGGTTATCATGGCGGACAGAGACGTGGCAGCGTGTAAATTCAGCAGGTTGTTGGACATGTCCAAGCACCCCAGGGTGGGGGACGCCCCGAGGTTGGCAATCACGTCGCTGGCGGCTTGGTCGGAAATGCGATTCGACGCCAAGTTCAGGGAATCGATCCCTGGGATCAACGCGATGCTCTCCCCCATCGCCGCGGCCAGTTCGTTGCCAATTTCGTAGTGACTACAGGAGTCATGAGGTTGCACTTAAACAACACGTGTCAAGTCTGTACTGGAGGTCCACACGGGGGGAATTGCACTTGCGGATCACACCCAACGGCTCTGGACATCGCGCGAGCTGTCGCAACCGCGACAAGTACGTCGTTCTACACGTGTGGTAGTTAGTCGATGGATCAAATCATAGAAACAGGAACAACCTGGGGGAGCCGGGGCGGGGCCGTTTTGATCGAAACGACGTGTCGTGGTGTTGAAACATTGTCCAAAATCGACTTAACGCATCCGTGCCGTGGTAGTTTTCTGGCATGAGGGGGCGTAGCTGGGGGCCGTAGTCCGCTTCCACCGCCCGCTCGTCAAAGGGAGACGGGGGCCGCAGCTCGACACCGACGTCTTTCAGATCTAATCATGCCATGAATGGTCGCGATCGTTATTCATGGAGTAGTCTACTTGTGAGAAATGTGAGTTTTTCTTTGATGGGGGGCTTGGTCAGTGGCGTTATGGTGGCATGTCGGGGCTCGCGGAGGGCAGTGGATACCCGAGGTGCCGTGGCGCTCGGGATGACGCTGAGCGATTTCATCGCCCCCCTGTTCGAGCGCCCTCCTCCCCCTTCGGGAGTTGCAGGGAGCAGCGACTTCATCGGCGACGCCGCCACCGGCCGTGTCGGGACCATCGCCGCTTAAAATAGATGTGTCATCGTCGTATCCGGTGTGTATCCGGTGTGGCTGGCAGCACGCCACGTCATGAACTGAGCATCAAATGAACGAAGTTTCGAAAACGAACAAAATGTCTCCCGTGACCTCAGTTTTCGCCAAAAACGCATGCGTTTTATCAGCACCGACAGGTTGTGTAGCTCCCAAATCAATCAATCTTACGAATTAAGTAGCTAAACATGAGTCACTGGACTTACGACTTTTGGATAACCTTCTACGAATCGACAGCGGATCTTATCGAAAGGTTGCGTCATCGACACTTGCAATTCTTCTCGACTCAGGACCGTATGCGTTGGGTGTTGCTGTTGCTGGTGGGCCTACTTGCCTACACGGCGACGGCCCAGCAATTGCTAACGTCGTACGTCCGTGTGCAATGGAACTCTACGAATTTGACGGCGATCGAAGGGTACGAAGCTGTGCTTCGGTCGTCAGTGGTGCAATTCCTGGCCCCCAACATCACGGCCAACGTCACATTTCTTGAAATCCGCGCTTCGAATGCCAACATTTCAGTCTCGCAAAACTTCACCATTGAGTTTGCCGTCCAAGCCAACGCCACGACGGCCACAGCCTCGACGTTTCTCACCACATTGCTCAACTCGACCTCGACGACAAGCAACCTCACTCGAGCCATCACGACCAACATCAATGGGGCTTCCATCACCTGTGCAGTCGCCACCACGCCTTCCTCCACGAGGTTGCAAGTGGCCCCTACCCCCTCAACGGTCACAGATTTGGCGAGCAATGCCTCGTACATTTTTGTCAACTTGCGCTACCTTGGGGCGCCATCTTTTAACGCGACCAACTTTACTGGCACGGCGTTTTCGCTGTCGACACTGACCCGCATGCGATACGCGTTGTACTCGCTGCTGGCCATCAAGACGGACGAAGAAGCCACCGTGCTGCAAGTGACCAACGCCACCGTCAGCTCCAAGCGCGAAACGGACGTGCTCGTGTTTTTTAGGTTCAACTCAACCTCCCGCCTGGCCAACACGACGATCGCCACGCTGGTCAACGGCACCACGACAGGCACGGTCACGACGACGTTGGCCGATGCCATGACATCGTTCAACTTCACCGCTCGAAGCTACAACTTGACCGTCGACGTGCCTTGGATTCCGGCGTCGGCAAACTGGTGGATCATCACCTCTGCGACCACAACCACCAACTCTTCCAATACGACTAATGCCACCAGCACGACTACCAATTCTACCACCACCACCAACAGCACCACCCTCGCACCGCCCCCATCCAACTCGACCAACACCACCAAGGCCCCATCGCAGTCGTCCATTACAACCCCTCCCCCCTCGACCACCACGTCCATAGTGTTCCCCACCACGAAACCAGTGGCCACCACCCCCCAGCCCACCTCCCCGTTGCCCACCACCGTCGTCCCTCAATTGGACGGGGGCCTCGTGCCTTTCCCTTTTGTCTACGCCTTCAACGTAACGACGGCGGCGGTCGCGCCAGTGTACACGCAGCCAGGTTACTGCGGTGGCAACAATCAATTCTGCTTGCACTTGAAGTGGGTGGTGGAAGACCCTAAGGATGCGTACGTGCTTGCGCGCATCAAAGGCCAGTCGTACATCAACGCTTCGGTGCTGGCGAGCTCGTACGGCCCAGCCGTCAACGCGTCTGTCGCTAGCGTGTGGACCCTGTACGACATTCCCCGCTCGTCGGTGATCTTGGATTTTGTCCGGTCGGCGGACTTAGCTCTCCTATCCGTCGACATCTCGGTACACCATCAACCTTCCCATCTCTTGTGTAGCTTAGCCTTTTTTTACGTAGGCCAACCTGTTGAGCGCCAACTCTGCCACGTCTACCGTCACGAGCACGAGCAACAGCAACATTTATGTCCGATACACGGCCACGCCGATTAGTGCCAAGGAATTGGTGCTCGAAGTGCGCATTGTGGTGGGCACGCCCCCCGCGATCGCCACTCAAACGTTGGTATGTGTTTCTTATGTTGCAGGTCTTTTCGAGGTAGGTTGATTATGCTCGTACATAGCAAGACGAAGGGTGTGCGTATTGCTCCAAACTTGCGTCACAGTGCCGAAACGACCCGACGTGTGCGAGTTTGAAGCTGTGCGTGGACAATGCCACGTCAGTGTGGGACCAAACCAACTTGATTCTCAACGGCGACTACGGCGACAGCCTCAACACGACGTTGGCGACGGGGGCTTGCTTCAACTATGGCGCTTCATCTCTTGGGCGAGACCTCTTTGACAAGTACATTCGTTGCATGCTAACTCGGTCGTGCCCTTTCGGTACAGCATATCCTCCCCGAATATATTCAAATACGGGGGCTTATGACACAATGTAGTTGTGGACGGACCGTCCAAACTCGTGTGGCAGGCGCCGACCCCTGGGTGGATTCAACTCCAGCTGCTCCCGTGGTCGCTTTCGTACTTCAACACTCTCCAATTCAACCTATCGTATGCCAACAATCCTCCGTGTCCCGTCGTCCTCTCGAACAACAATACGACGGAGAATCTCACGCAGCAGTTGGCCGCTTGTGTTTTCAACGACTGCGAAGTCGTCGTGCTGTCCAACACGACGAATGTCACGACCATTGACATTGTCTTCAACAACCACATCGGCCCCCTCCCCGTGCTCTCGTGGGACCCATCCGAGAGCCTTCCGTTCATCGACACGGCGTTCGCCATCCTCCCAAAACTCGCGTCTTCGTCTGCCTTGACGCTTCTGCCAGTGAACGACCCCGTCACAAACCCTGCTACCCCCCAAAGTAACTGTTTATTTGTGGTAGACTCTAATGTCTGACATGACTATTAATAGCCGCGTGTTCATCGTGCTGGCTGGAATTCCTCGAGAAATGCTTGCTCGACGAAGGCTGCAACGCGTACATCAACTGCATCATGAGGACTTCGTTCGAGTCCATCTCGTCGTTGATTCAATTTGGCCGCACGGGGGCGACATTCAACCTATCCCCCACAATTCTCTCATGCACAGACCCGACGGTGCCAACGTGGTCGTCGTGGCGGGCTCTACAAAGGGCAAGCCATTGCTACGCCCAGGCCCAATGCCCTGTTGCGACCCAGGGTTCCAAGAACATCGTGTGGCAGCTTCCCAATCGGACCCAGTCAATCACGTACACGCTACCGGCGGACCCGACCTACTCGTCCCCGCCCCAGTTTGTGTTTAAGAACCAATTGGACTACAATTGGAACGTCATGTATGGCGGGGTCACGGATTTTGGCTGGGTGCTGCCCACCATCTTGGACATTCCAGACGTGGTTGTGAGCGACCCAACCAACTCAACCAGCGATGTCGACGGATCGTTCACGTACTCGTGGGTCGTCACGTATCCATCCTATGCGGGCTTCTTGCCCAACTTCTTCATTGGAGATTTTGGGGGCAACGCCCTCACGATCCTCAACGACGCCCCCCCCAGCGCCCTTCTCGTTGTTCAAAACAAGACGTGGAATGCCACGGCGTGGAACTTGCCTCTGTTTTAATATGCGTTAGTGAAACCAATGATCTTACTGTTAATACATGTTTACAGAATGCATGGATTGTTCGGTTGGCATGGCGAAATCATTAACACTATTACTACGTAGTAATAGCAAAACTATGCTACGGTAGTACTAGTAGTCCGGAGTACTGTACAATCTACTCATGCGTTGTGGCGTACAGTATTGAGTGTACAATCGTACCGTAATACTGTACTATGTAGTACTGCTAGTATTAAAACTGGAGAATTGTATTTGGTCAAGGATTTTCAAGCACATTCTTTTGTTAACTGTCGTTGCTGTGAGTGTTGCTTTGAGTTCTTGCAATCAAGGATTACTCGAAACCGTTGTGATTGGCTTGCTCCAGTAACGTTGCAATTATTCCAGTGCTACTGTATCGCAAGGTGAAGATAAAAATGTTATTGCAATTTTATCTCAATCTACACCATTCGAATACAGTATTCAAGTTGTTTAAATAACGGCAAGGTAGGACAAACTCAGTTAAAACAGATCAGCACCATCGTCCTACCGGCCGGCACATGTGGTCTCAAGACGGACCTCCATCACATGGTATCTACAGTATCTATCGTACAGTACATTGTACCAGCAGGTCGTCGATCCCTTGGCAGCTGGCGCCGCCGTCGGAGATTACGACGAGCGAATAATGCACCCCCAGCCCAGCAACCAGATCGACCGACTTTGCCTCGCAGAATGATATGATACACAGTAATATGCAGTAATATGCGGCAAATAATTGCATTTTCACACGATCAACTATTGCTAAGGCTACGACGGCAACACTTGTGACGAACAACACACCAAATAAGTTAACAATCGCTTCTACGGCACGGCACGGCACTACTCGTTTCACCACATCTACTACTACTACTTTTGTCGGCGCATGTGGCGCAAACACAGGCCGTCGGTGCTTTCGCTGATCGCTAAGCGGTTGCACGTGCCTTCCTTGCACACCAAGTCCTTCCGGTGGTTCTCGCACAGCCCTCCGCCGCGGTCGGTCCGGCCGCACTCTGGTACCCCACAGAGGCGCGACCCTCCATGTTTTGCGCACAAGTTGGCTCGCTGGGCGCCGCTGCTGCAGTCAGCCACCGAGCACCGTCGACCGCCGCCGTGTTTTCGGCACCGTCCCCCGCCCTGGGAGCTCTTGTCGCAGTTGGCGATCGTGCAGCGGGCCCCGCCACCGTGCGCCTTGCACAGACCATGCGACTGCGCACTCTTTTCGCAGTCGGAAATGCGACAGCGTTTGCCGCCGCCATGGCTGATGCACAGCCGCTTGCCTTGGTTGCCTTTGGGGCAGCCAACGACGCTGCAGAGGCGGACGCCGCCGTGGTCTTTGCAGAAGCCACGATACGAGATCGACTTGGAGCAGCCTTCGGAAAAGCATTTGCCTGGGAATTCGGTGGTCGGGATGTCCACATCGTCGTCGTCGTTGCAGGGTTGGACTCGTGGCGGAGACGGCGACGAGGATGCAGCACATGTCGCGGGGAAAGTCAAGTCGTGGTGTATCGCGTCAAACAAAAAGTCCTGTGCACACTCCAACGTCAGCGCTTCGAAAGCATACTCGCCAGTCTCGGCGGCAAAGCTGCTGCTGGTGCATGTGGTGGCAGCCTGGACGAATGGGATTGGCTCCAAGAGACTCGCGTCGAAGAACTGCAGACCCTCGATGTGCACGAATGGCGGGCTCTCTTCATGTTTGTGTGACATGGGCTCGACCTTGACACAGTCTTGGGTCGTCATGAGATATGGTGGTGGTTGGGACGTCTGGTGGTAATAAGAGGGCGGATGGTGCATGGTGGAGGATGGCGGTGGTGGCAGGTACGTGTGATGATGGTTGGTGCTGCCGTGCTTGCCAGTCAGTGAGCTGAAATAGTCACTGTGGTCGACGTAGTAGTGGTGGACGAGGGTGTTGTACACATGAGCCATGATGTGTCGTCCTCGTGGGTAGTTTGGTGAATGAGTGAGCTGCATGTCGAGTCGAGTGGTGTGTCACGCGAAGGGCAAAGCCACTCAACACCATTATGCCATATTAAGGCCAAGTGATTGGATTGGTGCAACAACTGCAAACATAGGTTGGGCTAATTCCGTTAACATAGGCTATAGGCCAGTAGTACAGTACTGTAGTGCCCATATTGAACCTGTACCTGTGTAAGCCTAGGATAACTCAACGAGGGTTGTGCCTGCGTAAGTTGCTTGCGTGGAAAGAGTGGCTATCGGAAGATCAACAATGGCTTGGACCAAACATGTGGCATGCCACAATTGCTCGTCGTCATCGAATGTATTACACCGAATACGGTACCTAGGATATACTACTGTAGTATGTAGGATGAATGAATGGACAGGATGCAGCATGCATGCACGGGGCTGGTCAGTAGATGGTATCGATTCACCATAGGTAGTACATGCATTAGGCACAGCCGGGCGTTTGTATGACTGTTTTTCACGGGGTACCCCACACTGGGCGATTTGTTAACTCGGTGTGACTACACATTTACTGAGTACTAGTACAGTACATACTAGGATATCATAACATTGGTCTTGCCCACCTGGCAATAGAGAATAGAACTGTACTGTACTGTACTAGTACTACAATACTACGTAGTACTGTACGTAATACTAGTAGTACTGTAATGGACCGATAAATGTGGGGACAAGTAGGTAGTACCGTGTAGTACAGTGTTGGGGCTTTGCAGTGGTTGCTTTGATTATAAATTCTGTCGCCTCAACATCAAGGCGTGAGTTCCTGACACACCCAGTTTCATCGTTTTCCCAGCAGAGATCGAATACTGTGCATGTACCACTACTACATCGAGACCTACTCGAGGTGAGAACCACCAACCTTCGACTTGAGGGGGGAGGCTCTCATCAAGTGGTCTTTTCCCATATACCAGTACGTACAGTAGTACCACAGAAACAAACATCTAATTGATGAACCTGTAACCTGTGTTAGGGAACCTCACATGGGTAGCTCGCGGCTGGTTGGAAATGGGGCCGAACACAAAGACAAGTAGCACAAATCAATGGTCGTCAGAGACTTGATTGTTTTCGTATCTTGTTTCATCTGGACGGTGGTACTACGTTGAAAGATGATTATAGGACAACCTCGATTTTCAATACCGAATAGGAATGACAGTTGTAGGTTTGATACCCATATCCTAGTGCATGTACTATACAAGGTAATTTAACTGCCAGTAATATCGCAAGCTCGTGGTTCTCAGGATCTAACAGTAGTAAGTGGTAGCAAAAAGTACTACAGTACAGTACTGTAGTACAGTAACTACTACGTAGTACTAGTACGTATTAGATCTTTAAACCAGCTGCTGACTAACTTCCAATGCTACTGATATCAATACAATTGGACTGTAGTGCTTCCGAAATAGTATTTTAATTCGTCAGTAGATGTCAAATATGCATGCACTTTGCTACTGATAAGATATATATATTGCAATCAAAAACTCAGCAAATCCGAAAGAGACTAGGTACTGATCAAAAACGCAGTAGCCGATCATTTAAACCCTATGTAACCAAATCAAATCGATCAGCAAACACGTTTTATTAATGGTATGAATACATCTCCATCATATAATAGTTACTCTTCGAA